ACCCAACAAATTTGAGTTAAGGCGGCCGGAGATATGTCACTTAATTGGACGATCAATGTCTGCCCTGCCAACCCGCACCCAAATGGGTGTGTGATAGTTGGGTGGGCTAAAGGCCTCTTTTACCGACAATGCCCCATTGTATAAGGAGGAGTACCGAATCCGGCCCCAAAACGGGCGGATGGATACGCGAGAGAGAGCTTAATTCTAGCGTGTTAGTCGATATATTAGCAATCCCATCCGTTGTCAGTCCTGCTCCGCTCACAGCAACTCCAACTGCAAGAAGATAATTAAATCGACCTCATGAAAAAAGTGTGGCCAGTTTTCATCCGAGGCTCTAGGGGTGCTCCAGATCAAGCAAGCAGATGGCGTCTGGATGGCTTACTTGCACTGAATCAATAAGGTGTTTTCACGCAAGGGTGTACAGGGTGCACCCGAGATTCCATGGCAAGACGTCTGTGTGCTGGCTATCAACAGGAAATATATCAAGAACCTCAAACATCGATTTATCGAGCACTTGTAAAAAGTATACTGTTACTTGCATCTGGAGCTTTATGATTTTCGCAACCCTGATATTTCCTTGTTCAACATCCGATCTTCATTCGACAAGAATCATCTGTCAGTTATTTGGGGGTGATATGTGCTACGCAAACGACTCACTGACCTAGCGGTGTGCATACTGTTTGCCTCCGTGGTAGCGCAAGATCTTGCACATGTGGATCAAGATCAAGTTAAATGTCATATGCTGAGACGGCAATTTTAGGTCCAGTGGCGTATATTAAAGTTATTGCAGCTATTAAACTCGTAGTTGAACCTCTTCCATGTGCTGATCCAGTCGACCTGGCACCACGCAGAAGCCAAGTGCTAATCTAGTCTGACACCTTGGCTCGACAGCTCAGTATTACAGGTGTATTCCATGGTTGTATGCCGAGACTCAATGCACTTTCCGCCAAAACATCCCAATGACTTTCAAATTTCGATGCCTAACCGAATTTTTGGATCCTGAGGGCGCATGGTCAGATGATGAGCATTTGCAGCCGGTCGCATTGACTACTAACTCATGCTAGTTTGCGTGTATCTGGAGGTTTGAGAGCATCGGCGACCATAAAGCCACATTATTTTGGGCGACTTTAAGGCATGTGCGTCAACGCAACACTCTCACCTTTGATTTTTTGAGTGTCTCTCACTGCATTATGAATCAGTGTGTGAGCGAGTGCCCGCTTATGTGCTGCCCCATGGATACTTGAGTCTCCGCTACTCTTGATTGTGTTGAAGACACTAACACGTACAAAGCCGTATCCAATTCGGCTGCACGACCTGAAAGCCACAATTATCGACATCAAGGTGTTGGAGAAGCAGTCGTAGCACTTACATCGGTTACTGATTCATGTTGAGAGTTCAGACTTGTAACGGAGTTACCTGACCCCAGAGTGCAACGGAGTTCCACGTACCCTTGCAAGAAAGGGCGGGTCACACAAGATGGTGTGACCGTATGCGTGTGGATTTCGCAAGTTGGTATAATCACACAATGGCGTGGCTACACCGTAACAAGAAGCCACTACGTGGCAGAATTGCCAGTAGAAATGCATCAAAATTAGGTTTTACTATATTAATTAGGTATTACTATATTAATTAGGTATGACTATATTAATTAAATAACCTAGATCTTTAGATATTGGCGGCTCCGCCGCACTTAAAACAGCTAAATACAGCTTCAATTTTGAATGGAAGAGTCCCTTTACGTTGGCTAAGGATTTATGTACTCTTGGAGGCAGCGGATTGTGGAACGCTGCACTGTACTGGTTCTTGGTAATAACGTAAGGTTGGTGACCTTAGCTTAGCTTCCTCTAAGCAAAGATCTGCGGCAGCCCCTATACAAGTCTCGCCTTTCGTATGCCGCCAGTACGCTCACCCAATTTGTTATCGAGCAAATCACACCTCGTCCAACTTCATCTACTGCCGTGCAGCGGGATTAATGCGTTAAAGACTGTGCGGCACCTGCTGTTTGAGTTCGTCATATGTGATCTGAACTATGTTGCGACGAGTCCGCATTCTGTATAACAGGAAGAAGTCGCTGAAACGTGGTGCGGAATTTGTGACAGATTAATCCTTGCAGCTCGCTAAAATTATTGTGGGTAGTGCGCAATTATGAACTGTTCCGTCAGCGTGCATCTCTGCCTCTTGTGTCTACATTCCGGGTCGTGTGCTTACACTAAGTACTCGTAAACTAGCGTGCACGCGCAGGTCGTAAGATATAAAGCAGCAAATGTACATTGCCTCAAATCCGATGGGACTTCTGTGCGAAACAGACACCATTTTAGCTGTGATCCCCCACGAGTAGTCCGTAGTACCACGGTTACCTCACTTACAGCTTATTTGCTCGCACACTGATCCACCTCGATTCCAAATAAACGCTGTTGCGACCCAAAAGATGTTACCGTAAAAATGTAATAAGAATAAGTGTGCATCAGCTCCAAAGTTCATAACTCATGATATCAACATTTTTATACGTCATTACATTTCGTTGCAGATAAATCTGAAAGAGAAATGATCATTAAAGTTGTTTCGCGACTCCAGTTATTTGAATCGTATTAATTAATTCCAGTCAAGCCTCCCCGTCAAGAGAATCAAGCCCGGATGACAGCCCAGAGCCTGAAGACCAAACCTTTTCGCTATTTGCATCCTCGGATTCCGTTACCAAGACGACTGGACCTGAGTCGTGGATTAGATAGTCGCCTTTGGGCTAAATAGGATGTCGAGCGGTCTAGGCCTAATTTCCGGTCAAGGCACCAGCTTGGTATTAGCGCGCTAAAGAGAATTGTCCCCGTCGTTCTCTGCCTTAAGATCGGATACGGTTAAATGAACCCAGGGTCATAATCAGTGACGGGCAATCCAATCTTGACTTTTACCGTGGGTGAGGTGACTTTACGCCTAACGCTGTCGTCAAGCCGTTTTCACGTCAGATTCGTGCGCCAATTCGACCCCGCTGCACTGTAAGCTGTTCAACAGCGCGAGCGTAGGCCACCTCGAAGATACAAAGCGAAATCTTCCCTTGCCCATTGCCATACTTAACCCGGGTATGTGCCTTGTTGTGGTCTTCAAAAGAGTATGCGAGACCACTGCTTCACTTTGAAAGTGATATGAGAGAGAAGTATTTATACCGGCCTTCTTAATAACCCGATTTTTCAAGCATCCATCAAGGAATTTCTACATCTATAAAAATGAAGATTTAATGATACAGACAGCTTGGAATCAGGCATTTGCTCAATACAACATTGTAAATACAAACAAACAAATTACGAGATGCACGATGCGTTTTTATTTCTATCATCTCTTGCGCCGCCAGCAACTCCTCATGCGGCACATACGCTCCAACCAATTTATTGCTCGATGCAAACTCCGCCATCAACCACCCATAGTGGAATCGCTATGATATGGTGAAAGTCGTCAATAACGTTATGTCCCGTGATAATCAGAAGGGGTCGATGCAATTAACGGCGCATGCTGTAAAGTGGCACCAAGACTAAAAGTCATAAAAAGCAGCAAACAATGCAAATGTAACGACTTGGTTGGCTAAGCCCACACACAATCGGACTAGCGCCTTCAGTCAATGCGTTAGATCGCTCAACCATTTGATCGGTCAGTACACCTTCAGGCCCTCAAATAACGAGAAATGATGTGTAACCAATTAATGAGACAGCCGCAGCAAATACAGTTCATCCAGAAGGTAGATCTCAGAATCCAAGCTTCAATACCAAGAATAAAGGTGGTGGTATGTCATTACAATTCTGAAAGCATAAACTCTAGTAATACGCTACTGCTCAAAACGCTACTGCTGTCTGAAGCTTCAATATTCAATTTTTTTCTAACATATTTTAGTAAGGCTTTAAACATCTTTATCATTATATGAACATTGCGTCAGAATCTAACCAATGTTTACGTAATTTAAATTTCAGCAAACTTTTACTCCTTTTTTAATCAGACGCAATAATTACCAGACGTCTTCTGGGCCATTTTGTCGGTAGATCTTCTTTTCGTGCTGCCCTCAATAAAATCATCTATTTCAGCTTATCTAGTTGTCATAGCTACATATATCATGTCGCTTCGGACTAATTTACGTCTCAAGCTGGACACATCTTTGTTTATTTCAAATGCTTTGATATATTCATCGAGCACTCTTTCACTTATGCGCTTTGTCTCCGGTCACGACGAAACTTGCACAATCGCTTGATGTCACGACACGATAGAACAAAACTATTTTCTGATAAAGCGGAGAAAAAGTGACCTGGGCACATAGTTTAAGATTCAGACTAGACGATTCTACAATAATTACTAATGTATGATAAAACTAAGTATAACTTGGATAAGAAATCTTCATATATGCTGCGCGTGATGCTTTTCTTATCATGATAAGTGGATAAGGCCAATGGGACAACACTCGTAAAACCAAGAGATTAGACAATGTTGTGCTGTTTATGTTGATTATTGTAAGTGTAATGTTTGGATGTCTTATCTTCAAATAAAATTTGTGGCTCAGATGCTGTCAATTTATGGCGTGTGTATTTTTTTCTTACGGGAAGACTTTACAATGTACAAAGGATAATGTGGATAGGTTCAGAAAAAGACTGATATCAAGACTCAACAGCACGAATGAATTAACACTTTACGGACAACGATCACATTGCGTAATGTTTAACGACAATTGACATTCTCACAACAACACGAAAAGGAAGTAACAAACGAACATACGGCCCAACCCGTTGAGTATTTGTTTTAGCAACAAGGTCCTGATTAATTGTTTATACGTAAGACAATGAGCCTGTTCTATGTCGATGGAAAGGCTCATTGGCTGTTCCATTTTTGTGTTTAGAGTTTGCATGTCAGAACTATCGACTCGCCCTGCTTTTGCCTAGTAAAATGAACCAGCGATGCTGTTTGGTCTCGAGAACAGGTCATAAAACAATTTTCACAGCAACGCATAGCAGTTTCTCTTCCACATTACGATGGTTTTTCTTTCTGCAATCTTTGGTGCCGTGGCTCTCGCATCGTCTTATACTGTGGCCCATGCCCAGAAAACCGTTATGCCGCTTCCTTGGGACGGTCGTGGAGAAGGACTCGACGTCAAAACAATCACAAAGAAGTACCTGACTCACATCCTCACAATGCGTAATGATTCAAAACTAACGGTCGAAGATTACATCTCGATTGAACAAAAGGCTCGAGAACCTGCGTACAATGGTGACTCGGCGGTCATATCGATTTCAGTGGACGGAAAAGCACAGTTTAAAGATCAACATGACTTTCGTCGCACAGAACTAGTGCAATTTGTTGCCTCGAATCCAAAAGGTGTCACGTTCTTTCGTACGAGCTTTATGAAAAAAGAAGCATTTTTGAACCCGTACGCCTGGCAGCTTGTTTTTGACGAATTGCATGTTATTGAGCTTCGAGTGGATGCATCAGTCACTCCGGCAAAGCTCATTTTCTTGTGTGGTGGAACTTGGGACCCGAAATGGGAGACAACGTTTAAGCCGGGTACGTGGTACAACTTCGGCATTGCTGTCTCTGCCGGTGAAACGCCACAAAGCGTCAAGATTGAATTCTACGAGAGCGAGGGCAATGAAGAACTTGTTCTGAAAACAAAAGAGACCGCTGAAAAGCCTTACCCCAGTGATTTCGAGTTTCACATCGGACTGTTGACATTGAGTGACGACAAGTCTGCACCCAAAATGAACAAGGACCCTGATACCTTGATGTTCAATGGTGTTTCTGTCACGCCTGAGATTTCAACCGCCACTTCACTCAATGTCAATTTCCAACAGAATTGAAAACCTTATGTGCCCACGCTAGACTTCATCACTAGCATGAGACTTAATTGAGTCTTAGAAGATCGAGCACTTGTTCAAGTTATGGCTCACATTGTTTTTGCTTTAGCTCTCTATCGATGTTGATTTTTCGGACAGGGTCATGGATCTTGATCTGATTAAATAAATGTTTTGTTCTTTTAGCTGGCTTTGCCATTTTTGAATTGATTAAAGTGTTGTTTCCTAGAATAGAAAGGTCAGGTAAAAACTGGACTGTAAGACTTAACAATTCCCAACCGTTATTGTAATCATTGTGCAGCACGATGGATTGCTACAATATTCTTGAATGACAAGACCCTCATTAAAATTTACTGTCAAGAAATATTCAAAAGCCATGAAAACGGAATCTGATCGATGCCATGAACATTATCATTAGCTCATCAGTAGTCAGAATTTACTACGATTGTGTAAAGGCTTTGTCTAAAACCTTCACCCTTCAAGTAATACTAGTAGAACAGTTGTATCTCAATTTCGAGTTATCATATTAGTGTCAAAGTCTGCATCTCGTGGAGTAATCGTAATGAGTGCCTACTTGTTTATGTAATCAGTTGCTCGTTGTAAAGCTGAAATTTTTAGGACACCACCATATGTAAGAGGTAGCAAGCACTCAGCATGATGTCCTGACACTTTTTTCTAATTTCGACACTATACCTTAAATTAAGTTATTGGTGCTGCTTGATTGAATCACCAAAAGAAAGCAGAGTCGCGAAGTGAAGAAGGCACATATCGATGTAAAGCAATTGGCTGTTTAGGGTCATTAGTTACTCGCCGTCGTGATTCAGTGCATAGCGCACTTGGTCAACAGGTATAGAATGGAGATGTTTGATGTGATTACGAAGGCTCCAAAATTATGAATCGAAAAGTAAACATTTATTGTAAACGAGTAATGCTTCGACAGATAAAGCATTTAATTCAAAGCGGAAGTAACTTAAACTAGGTGGAAGGCAGGTAGTGCAACGTATCTCGTTGAGGACTTACCATTAGTTCAAGCTCATCATGTATTCGTGCTTAGGAACAAGCAGGACCTCCAGCTACCGCAGGAACGTCAGCCGTAACAGTCACACCGTTGTAAGACACAATGTCCTTTTTGGGGTTCATCTTTGGCTCGCTACCGTCATCCGACAAAGTCAACATACCAAAGTGGAATTCAAAGTCTTCCGGGAGGTCTTTCTCGAAAGTATGTGTGGTCTTGAGTTTAAGCTCTTCGTTACCCTCGCTCTCGTAGAATTTAACTTCATGACCCTTGCCAGACGACCCAGGCGATAGAGCGACGCCAAAGTTATACCACGTACCGGGTACAAAAGTGGTGTTCCATTTTGGCTCCCAAGTGCCACCGCACAAAAAGATAAGCATTGGTGGAGAGACTGACGCATCCACACGAATCTCAGAATAGTGTAACTCGTCGAAAATGAGCTGCCATTGGTACAGGTTTAAAAAAGCTTCTTCTTTAAAAAAGCTGGTGCGGAAGAACGTTGTACCCTTCGTATTAGCCGCAACAAATTGTACTAATTCCGAGCGACGGAAGTTCGTCTGC